GCGAGCGGCCTTTAGTCTGGTCCTCCCAGTGGTTTCTTCCTGTTAAAAGGGCGTTTTTCCTTCCCACTATCGCCAAGTGCTTGCTCACAGGGGGTAGTCTGATTATTGGGGTTTTCTCTGTGTTATTGTCGGCTCTACAATATAAAGCACCTTGAGACAACTGTTGTGACTCGGCTTTAAATAAATAAGACTGAACTGAAAAATGAAATTGAATTTTTTGAAAATGCATAAATAAAGCTGTGGTCAAAAACTTTGTTCATTTGATATCAATTACTAAACATTTAAACAAATTTTTACTAAACAGTGAAAGGAATTCTACATGAGTACTATATTCACATGAATAAAAGAATTCAAAATTATATCAAGTATATTAAAAATGTGTTTCAACAGGGCATTTTGTTTGACTGCACTAAAAACTTCTTAAAATACATTTACAAAGAACAAAGAAAAAGTGAATCTATACAAAATTAGGATCAATAAGGGAAACTAAATATTATGTCACCTTACAGACACAGACACTGAATCATGCAGTGTGAGAAGAGTTTATACAAATTCTAGCCCGTGAATACCAGCTCTAATAATTTTTTTCAACACAATGAGACTATTAAAACTCACATAACATCAGCAACTCAGTTTTAGTGTGCTATTAGGATTTTTTTAAATACATCTCTGCTGAGGCTAAGAATGATGATGAAGCAGTTAGAGTAGACAACAACAAATGCTTTGGGCAGCTGCACAGGAAGTCATTTTTGTGTGTGTGTGTGTGTGTGTGTTTAGGTGGGTGGGTGTTCATTCATGAAAATCACAATGAATACACAAATAGAGACATTTTAATGTTTACAGTGACTTACCTGCAGAAAGCCTGCTGTAAATTCTAGTCTGCCAAACCCAAATGAATCAGGTCAGAAGTCTCTAATCTTTTCCAGTGAGCCCAAATAAGATTTTTCAGCATTTATCTAGATTTTTAATCACCTGATATAATTCTGATTATGAATTTTAAGAGAATCCCTCAGTTTTGGAAAGTCCTAGTATACATTTTAGTTTATGAAGCTATGGGCACAGCTTCTGAATTAATGTGAGACCTTGCCAAGAGCCATCCCAAATTTTAGCCCAGATGAGCCAAATTTTTGGGGTGCCTTCTGGGCATGCTCAGAATATATATATTCCTTCTTCTGTTTCTGCCTTTAAATTGTTTAATTTAATGTGTAGAGGTTTACACATTACACATTTATCATTGTTATGAAGTGGGGCAGTGAATGTGTAATTTAAAATGAAAACGTAATTACATAGTCTGGACATTTGACCTCATTTCTAAAAATGATGTTTAATAGAAGCTGTTATTATAGTTTGCTCTTAAACACGCAGTGTAACCATGTTATCTTCGCTCCGTCTGAAAATGTTCTGCGTCCATCTACTGGCTGTTAACTCCAGCGTAAATTGGGCGATGGAATCGAACTGCTTCGCCACTTTTCCTCTCATGCAGCAGCCCACCCCTCTCGCTCCCAGTCTCCCTTTGCTTTCGACATCAGCCCGGTCTATTTTTAGCTCCATCCAAGGCGAGCGGGAGAGGGAGAGGGAATGACACAATCCCTTGTAGACTGGCGGATGAGAGGAGGAGGTGGAGGAAGGAGAGAAGAAAGCGTGGGCGCACTGAGGATGGGTGCTCATTTGAATACTCATAGAAAGCAGCTGCGCGCACAAAGGTGGAAGGATGGGCGATGAATGCGGATTCAGTGGCGAAAATCAATAGAGGGCTCAGCCTCTGACAGATTTGGATGATTAGCGTGATGAATAAGCGGCGCATTATAATGAGTTACATGGGACAGGATGGCGTGATGGAGCATTGAAAATAAAAGTGAGGGATAATTGGTCTTGCCTGAGTGACAGCATTTTTTTGTTTGTAGTATTCAAGAATACATGAAAGGTCTCCTCTATGTCTCTGGTAATCTCTTTTCAAGAACGTCTTGCTTACACTTTTTTTTTGTCTGCTTTGCTTTCCAGTCACAGTTTCTTTCTAAACAGTTAATTTTGTCTTTTCTATCACTGCTTTGTTGATTTGTTTTCAAAAGGATGATTAGAAAATGAGCAAGGTATGACATAAAGCTTTTGATAGTGCTCAGTTTAGTTAAAAGATAAACCTAAGGAGGGGTACTAAGAAATGGGAATAATGGATTTGTGAGCTATTTTGAGCTCAAATTCAGCTTTTCTCATGCTATGTAGTTCTTTTTTTACCTGGTAAGTCACCATGGTAACTTATGCTGAACAGTAACCTGGTGAAGTATTCTAAAAGTCCCAGTTTTTTACTGATTCCATGTTTTAAATATTAAATAAATTATTTAAATATAGATTCTCTGTTGTTAGGATACACTTTATATGTACAACTTTTAATCTGTACCTTAATAACATCATGCAAGCAGTGCAAATTATGCGTTACAGTTTCACTGGAATTTGCATGTATTCAGTTGATGATGCAGAAAATATAGAAATGTTTTCATAGTTGGTCCTAATCTGGTGCTACATCTGTAACTGTTCAGTCAAAGAAATTAATTTTACTTTGATTTGTTGGCAAAGGGATTTCCATGTCTCCCTTATCAGGTTATGGGACAGAAACCTTTATTATTTTAAAGCATCCAGTTTAAAGTTTGAAAGCTCCAATGTGCAGCAGAGAAATAAACAGGATTTATTTTTGGAATTAAAATAATAATCTGTTGGTTATCTGACCACTCTGAGTGCTAAAACTCAGGATTAATGATTTCCTATAGCATTCATTTTCAGTCTTGACATCAACAGTCTTGCATTTTTATGTTGGACTTTTATCATCATCCTGTGATGAAACGTCTAGAGTAGGTGGCGCTCATAGGGATCATTTTGTATGAGCATGCACATAGCCAGCTTAGAGCTAAATGTGCACTGATTGGTAGTTGCCTGGGGCAACAAAATACATACTTAATCATGGTAGCTGTTATGCTTAACCCCTAAACGACTTGATGGCAGCTGAACAAACGTCAACTAGTTTTAACTGCAGCAAAATTGGAGTTTTACTTCAAATGGGAGTTTAAGTCCATTTGGTAGCATTTCTCTATGTTTTAGGGAATCACCACGTTTCAACAATCTGTAAGGTACATCAGCTGGAGCCTTTGGTAGCCTACTTCTGGGGACACGTCAGTCATGCCCTTTGTTTTCATCAGGGGAAACTTTTTAATTATTGTTTTCTTCAATTGAATCTTGTAGCTGAAACTTCAGAGTAGCTAGCAAAAATGAATTCTCCTCACCTACAAGGTCTTGAATATTCAAACACAATTATATCTGAAAGACATCATAGTACCACATCACACCAACAGAGCAGTGATGAGGTTAGACTGCTGGCTTATTCTAGGATACTTAAAAGTAGAATGGGAGGCACAGCCTTCAGCTTTCAGGCCCCTCTTCTGTGGAACCAGCTCTTAGTTTGGATTCAGGAGACAGATACAATCTCTGCTTTTACTGTTGAGCTTAAAACTTTGGTTTTTGAAAAAGCATATAGTTTGGCTTGGACGAGGTGACCCTGAAATCCTCCCTTAGTTACACTCCAGTAGGCCTGCCCACTGGAGTGTAACATAATGCACAGTGTTGGAGGTGGGTGAATCAATCCAAATATTGATAGTAATGATCCCACTGCTGATATTAATAGATGTGCTTCAATCCTCTAAGCTCGGTATGTAGTCCATTTTAGGAAAATGAAAAAAACAAACAAACTAAAAAAAAAAACAAACAGAAAAACTTTAAACATTAAAAATGTCTGAACCTTTTTGTGTTGACTGTGACATATATTGTATTTATAGCTTACGGCACAGAAGACATAATTCAATTCATTTTTAAGCCCTGAATCCAAGCTGGCAGCTGGTTCCACATAAGAGGGACCTGGAAGCCTCCGATTCTACTTTTAAATATTGGAAATTGAGAATTACAAGTAAGCCCGCGGTCTGACAGCGAAGTGCTCTATTGAGGTGGCACGGTACTATGAGGTCTTAAAGATAAGATGGAGCCTGATTATTCAAGGCCTTGTATGTAAGGAGGAGGATTTTAAATGGGGCCAATGAAGAGAAGCCAGTGTGGGATAAATATACTCTCTTTCGCTGAGTCGTTTAGACTGAAGACAAAATCGACCCAAAGTCCTTTAGAGGCAGGCACAAATCACTGATTTAGTGGTCATTAAAATATGTTCAGAATTTGCAAATTGATTGCGATTCATCCCATAAGTCACGACACACTACTCTCCCCTATATAAGCTGCCTTTATAGATTTGATGTATCAGTGTCTGTATTGCCTAGTATTTACTTGGTATCAGATTGATACCAACATTTTTAGTATTGAACAGCATTTATTGTGTGTTTTTACATTACACACCCTTTCCCACTGTCTTTCTACGACTCTGTAATTAACCATTAGTTGTTATTGATCTTTGGTTTACTTTCACAATGCGTCGTTTGTCCAGTCTCCCTCCACTCACCTCCAATCAGTCGCAATAATGGCTGTTCCTCTCTGAGCCTGGTTCTGATGAAGGTTTCTTCCTATTAAAAAGGAGTTTTTCCTTCCCACTGTCACCAAGTGCTTGTTTACAGGGCTCTGTGTTCAGTGTTCTGATTGTTGGGGTTTTCTCTTATTACCTTAGAGTTTTTTTACCCCACAGTATAAATTGTTTTGAGGCGATTGTTGTTGTGATTTGGTGCTTTATGAATAAAACTGAATTGCAAAAGAAAACCCCAAACCTTCTTTTCCAAACCTTTCTTTTTGTCTGTGTCAATTTACACAAAATGCAGACTTAGTTGGACATTGAACATAGTAGCCTCTGTGGTTTATATTATGTCCCCCAGAATGAGTACAAAGGTCAGTAAGGAGGAAAACCCGAGCTGCTGCAGCCGCCCTCATAATGCTGTGTGAATGACTCCACTAATGACACCAAATAGCAATTCAGCAGCAATTTCCCCAATCTGGTGAAAAACAAACAACAGCCACAGAGCTTGTTTCCAAAATCAATCTTTGCATTTAATTCAGCGCTTTAGAAGCTTAACAGTAAACAAGAAAAATGTACACTGGTACACATATTTCAGAAGGACAAAAAATATGAATTCTTGATAAATATATTTGGTATTTCTGTTGCTTTAAATAAAGGAACCATATCAAAGTCTGACTTCATGCACACCACGGCACTCACACACACTGAACTCGACTGATAAAAAAAACTTCATGTATTTCCGTGTCTGTTTTAGGCTACTATATTACTGGTGCCGGTAGGCCTGCACAGCTTACATTAAATGTACCATACATAGAAATATTAATGTAGCAAGTAAAAGGCACTCAGAGAAAAGCTTGGACATGCCAGTAAACTCAAAGCAAATTGACCACAACCACGTAAAGCAACTGGATAGTTTCATTCCAAAAACACAACGTTTTTATTTAAATTTACATAACGTAAAAAACCCTCCATCTTAAAAGTTGTAACTGATTATGTGCTTGATTTTAATTACAAATGTATCCTTGTCTGGGTTGGTTACTTGGGATGAAACAATCACAGTTTGCAATCACTGCAACATAGCTGAAAACACTACAACCACACCGCCAGCTGAAACCAAAAAAAAAAACAACTGTTGGCTAGTGCCTCAAATAGATGTGCACTGTACTGTGTCTCTAAATCTGTCTCACTCAAAATAGAGTGTACATAAACAATATAAATAATCTTTACACTCTGTACAAGGATGTTCGTAAGACACTCACTGTTGGAGGTACATTCAGAAATGAGGCTACACTCTCAGTTAGTACCTACAGCATTTATGATATGTAACTCAGAAGAATACTCGACATAGGAACAGATATGCGTGCACACAGCTGAATGCTTCTACAAAGCGAGGATTATCTTCGCTTTTATAAGCCAGGTGTGAAATAAGCTCACGAAACTGGACAGTTGACACGGAGCGGGATGGAGGCAGACGAGGGAGGGGGGGCGGGGGAACAAATCATTAGTTGTAGCTTTAGTGTGCACACAACCAACATGGTACACATATGCACTTGTACACTTGTACTGCTCCGAGTAACTCCATGCAAAAGTTGGAGATGATAATTTTCAGTTAAGTACATTAACAGCTACAGCCGACACAGAGCTGCTGGGTTTTCTGCACACTTCCTGCTGCTCAGAACCATGAACTACTACACCTATTGTGTTCAGCTTACTGCTACAGCTTGGCCCTAAGACGGAGAAGGATTTTTGCTATTGTTTTGGCGAAATGAGTGATCTAGTCAAAGCAGAAAATGTTTCCCCCCCAAAAAAGAACAATGTTCAGGACAGGTTCTTTGCGACATACACCACCGCGCGGCTCGTCTTATCACTGAGGAACAAGGTAAATTTGTTTAAGCCTGTCCTCGGGGATCTAGTAGCTAATATGAAGAGCAGTATAACCCCCTTTCTTTGAGAGTGTAAGAATGGAAGGTATATAAAGGAAAGAATTGATTTGCCCCTCACCGCAACCACCTAAATGCCCAGCAGCGCCGAATTTGCTCGGTTCAGCGGGAGTCGTGGAATAGAGGAATCGGGCCAGCGAGCCTGAAGCTGTTATACACCAGTTTGTATGATATGCATGTAATGCGATTCCTTGACATAGTGTAAAAATATGGACTATATATAAGCAGTGGGCGTAGTCTCACGTCACAAGCAAGGTGTACATGTGACTGAAAAACAAAGGCCTCTGCATGGATCAATCACACGGTTGTCCATGCGTTTTACACTAAACTTTGAAGTTATCCCTACAGTTGGGCTTCTTTATGTCACAGGATCAGGTACCCCCTGCTGGTCATGAGAAAAAAATGTAAGTTCACAGATTGGCTACGTCCTTCTTTCTTATGATCTATGATAAGTCCGAAAGTGCTGACGGAATGCAGGTTTGACCACACCATTACCTCCAAAAAGATTAGCACTTTATGGCGTAGTCATTTCTATTGATCTGACATAACTGGAATTTTTGCCCCTCCGAAACAAATCTTTATTGCAGTAAGCATTTAGGACTGGTGACAGCAGAATGGAATGCAGAGAGAGAGATATGAGGAACATGCTGACTATGCTATTTTGCTTGTTTAATTTCATATAATGAGCGTGCTTTGGGATGAATTCTTGCCTCTTCCTCAGATGTGACCCCTCACTGACTCCCTGGCCCTTTCATCTAATGAGTCGCCGAACCGGAGCCGCTGGAGACAGAGCGTACGTGCCAAAAGGGCAGCTCTGTTGTGGCAAGGGGAAATCATGCTTCATTTACAAGTGCAGTTCTCGTTCAGTAATCCAATAATAAAAATTGTTGTCTCTTTGTAAACTAATTGAATGGGTGGGGGTTGAACTGATGCGCATGGCCACATATGTCAGATCAGATCGCTTGTTTGATACTCTTGCTCTACCGTATCCAGAAAGGCTCGTCTGGTCACTGTTAACTCCCCTGTCCCACACAATCACACCTCTTTTTATCCAGTAACCTGCAGCAGAGGGATTCAGAGGTATTAAGTACTGTAGCTATCCCTGAGGTGCCTATCTCTAATGCATTTCCACAGCACAGCGAGGCCAGCCTTGGAGCAATGATCTGTGATGTGCTTTAGGCTCCGCTTTCATCCAGGTGGATCCATTACTGGATTGAACAGAAGAGTGGAGAGGGAGGGCTTGTATGGAGTGTGCAATGTGTATTCTACCCTGTGTATCTGGTCATGATGATGGTTCCTTTGCTAGAAGGTTTTCTAAAGTTTAAGGTGTTACAAAGTTTACCTGGCAGAAATACTAACAATGACATCCAACTTTTTTCAGTCTTTTCAAGTTCAGGCCCTACAACTTCTTGTCTTTTTCTTTTTTAGTTGCCCTTCTCATTCAAAAAGTCCAACTCCGACTGCTCTGTCCCCTCTGGAATACATCAGCCTGAACAACGCCCTCCATCACAAAGTACCCTGATCAGCAATGAAGAATCCACCTTCTTTCTTTTTCCTCCTCCTCAGTCTGTGGGCCCTCCAGCAGACTGCTGCCACAAGCAACATCACGACGCCGACACACAGCAGCGCCACGGACACTACTTTGGTCTGGAGCAACGTGTTAAAGGTAAACGTCACTCCAGTTCCTGCCATGCCGATCACCAGAGATATCACGCCGAACGGGAACACGCAGCGGTACCAGGACTTCTCTGTCCCGCCTGTAGCTTGGGCGAGCCTTTCCAGCGTTGGGAGAGACTCTGGAGGTTTGGCCGAACACCTTCCGACACTTCCCTCCATCTCCCCTCCTTCGCCACAGCCGTTCAAACCCTGGTTCTCAGAGTCCTGGGGCAAGTTGTTGGCCTCGCTGCTGTTGCCGCAGTCCAGGTCCGGATGAAGGACCGAGGCTGGGGGCTGGCGCCCTGAGGAGCAGCCCATCTCAGAGCTGCCGTCCTTGAGTGACGAAGCGCGAAAAGCTGCCCGTCGGCAGCGGGGGTCCTCTTTGAGTACGTTTGATGATTGCTGCCGTTTATGATGCTACAGGGGGTTTCTCTGAAGCTGCTTCGAGTGCTGTCAATGACAGAGAGGTTGCTGCTACTGGTCTTGTTGTTGTTGCTCTCAGTACTTAACGCCAGCATGTGCCTGCAACTGGAGACACAGAGAAAAGACCTGAAAATAGAAAGCAGGAGATGGGGGGAAAGAAGAAAAAATAGGGCAAGACAGAGAAGAAAACACAACTACTGAGCAAACATTCTAAGAGGGCTGGAGACATTCACAGGAAAAGGATGGAAGAAGGGAAAAATAAAGCCAACAGATGAGACAGATCTGCCACAGAGAGGAGGCACTTACCCGGTATTTTCAGTATCCATCAATGAGTGAATGTTTTCAGTGCAGCCTTGTCTCCTGAGCGGCTCGCAGCAGCAGCACCACAGTGTTGTGATGCCGATGTTCATAGGATTATATAATGAAGGAGGAGAGGAGGTGGAGCCTGTGGGACGCGGTCAATGGGATGCAAGCATCTGATTGGCTCCACTTGCAGAGTGATTCAGGGAGGAGGGGCTGAGATGAGGTTAACCGTTCAGCGGTCTCATTCACTGATCTTAATTCATTATTTAGTGTGACATGGAATTTGAGATACCCCTTAAAGGCACTGCATTTTTTCATTATGGGCAGAATATAAATGACACTGATACCGAAATGAGAAAAAGATGCTTCTTGACAATGAAATCGGACCGACAAATGTAATCGGCATGAATACTATGACACCACATCCCGCAGCTCTGTCCCTGACTTCATTTTCACTGCTGCTGTCACACATGTTATCAGGGTCATGTGAAAATCTCCAGTGTCTCCAGTTGTGTTACAAGACAGTGCAAGATCCCCACCCCAAGGGTGACAGTGGAATATAATTACAGTGAGATAGAAACCTTGTATCTGCAAAATGTCATCTTTTCAGCAAGAAAAGCGGGACTGCTAAAACTGAGATAATTCAGTTTTTAATAGTTTTAATCAAACCCATGAAGGTCACAGAGAAGCAAGACATGTAATTAGTAAAGATTGAACAGCACCCAAATTTTTATTTTTTTTTTAAACAGCTAATCATAATTCAGAATTGAAGTGAAGACATTTTTTGCACAAAAGCATGATGGTTATGGTCATGTTTGTGTCACATTTCTCCAGCATGTATCTCTTATGCTGTTCAGAAAATGACAGTAGGACACAGGAGCAATGTTCCCTCTAATTTTTCATGTGTCTGAGCGAACACACAAACTCACTGAGCGATTCCTTGGACCACTGTGAGCAACAGCAGACGTGTGCACTGTCGTCACGCCAGCATCAAATCCATCCAAGTTACATGGTTTATTAAAATAATCAAATTACAGCATTTACATTTATGTTAGACTACTTTTAATTAAGTGCTTTAGCCCACTTACAATGAAAATTTTTAAAAATCTTGTTCATAACTTGAACTCCAATTTTGAAAACACGACTTTCTTTCTTTTTTTTAAATTTCTTTTTTAATAAAGCTCTGACTTGTATTATGAGTATGAGTCTGTGGTCTGGGAGAAAGTCCTGTAACTCTCTGTCCGCAAAATACAGTATATAATGACCAATTTTGGGCAATTAATTATATAGTTACTTCTTCAAAAAAGTAAGTGAGTTATGCAAACAACAAAGTTTTTTGCTGCTGTTTACCTAAAAATGCAGCCAAGGCGTTTTTTTAAATAAAAATTTAAAACTATTTACAGAATCAGCTGTTCTGCATCAAATTTGATGCCACACAAATTATTTGTGCGACTCCAAAAAATAATTTCTGTCCACTATGAGATAAAGGAGAACAACAGCCTGATACCTGCAGGCCTGACAGCAGGAGATGTATCACTCCTGTAACACCTGTAGCCAGGGCTGGATTGGCCATTGGGCATACCCGGCATTTGCCTGCTGGGCCGCTCGTGATTTTTCATTTTTAAGGGCCGATGGGGTTTTATTTCTTTTCTTTTTTTAACGGTACAAATGAATGGTGGTGGCTTGGCCAGTTGGTCATGATCGACTCTGGGCTGGACCAATTACAGCCGAGGAGGTCGAACTTTAAAGTTGAAGTGAAAAGGAACACGATTTGTCCCGTTCCTCTTCAGCTAGAAAGTTGCTAATTCAATCACGAAACTGATCAATGATCAGCTGATCGGCTTTTCTCTCTGCGCCAGAATGAAGAAACCAGCGGAGGTTGCGCTAAACAACACTTAAGCACGTTTAAGCTTGATTGACTTTATTTAATATTACTTTCTAGTATCAGCTAATGTTTGCTGGAGCCACAGCTCCAGGTCATGATATTGGTTTGTATATCTGATGAGAGGGAAACATGAAGATGAAACCAGGAGATGTCCTTACTGAATCATCAGAGCTGAACAGGTGATGGAGAAACAGGTTTACCTTTTAGGTGACATGAATGAGTTGAAGGGAAGTTATGAACTGTTTCTGAGAGACAAATAACACCAGGATCCTTTTCTAAGTAGCTGACAGCTGCTAACTGTGCAGGGGCGGGTCTAGCAAAGTGTTGCCAGGGGGCCAGGTAGGGCATTAACAGGGAGAGGGGGGCACAAAGAAATACTCTTCTTTCTTATTCTCATTTAAAATGTCTAGCTTTTAATACATAATTATCTGAATCTTACAACGAAAGTTTTCATCTGTTGTAAAATGTATAGAAATCCATTACTGTATTCAGTAAATATTAAGTCTAGTTAGTATATACCCTAGTAAGTTATAGTATTCTTTCCTTTGGGAAGGTACCATCTGTGCAGTCTCCAATTCTGTAGAAGAAAGATGTTGAATCTATTTAATTACTGGAGAAAAATAATTTCCGTGCATTTGTTTTATACGTGTATTAAATTAAAATCGGTTTTGTCAATTAAGCATCTTGAGGCAGAGGGTACGGGAATGGTTCCCTATTTTTTTTTCTTTTCTTTTTTGCTGGGAGTTGTCAACCCTATTAGTTAGGTATATGTAATTATAAATTAGGTTGTTTTATATTTTTACTAAGTTCTGTTTAGAATACCAGAATAGGGAGGATGGTGTAGGTTTAAGTTTATTATAAAGACTTTATGGCTTTTCCTATAATACCATGGTGGGCCGGTCACTAGTCAAAATGCCCGGGCTGATTTTTTGTCCCAGTCCAGCCCTGTCTGTAGCACTCAGTAGTCGCCTCATTGTTCTGACACACACAACAAAACTATTGACTACACTACACACTGACTACACAAGATTTGCGCTAAACGTTGAAAATCTCTCACATCTCAAAACACTGCCGTCACTCCTAAAACTTTCCCATTCCTAAACAACTAAATGCCACGTTGCATATCATTTTTTGATTGGTCGACATGGTACATTTTTTGACCAATAGGAAAGGGTGGGGGTTTTGGGTTTTGTTTTTGCTCACAAGTGGAGAGTGCTTTTGAGCACTTTCCTTATAAAATGGCGTTTTTACCATTTCTTCCCACAGCAACGATAGTATTCAGGAAAAAAACCAAACATTGCATATATTTTTTATCATAACTCTGGTTTTACGTGGCCCATCAACACAATTTAAAAATTGGTATAAAGTCCACACGTTTTCCGTCAATTGTTTCGTCTGTCCTGCTCACATCTCCAATGGTTGGACATGTTGTCATTAACGTGGCTTCACTCCACATCAGCCACGCTAGCTAACTAAAACACCTAGCTAAACTAGCTAGCTAAAACACCGGTGTCCGCACATAAGGATGCTGTCATAGCCTGTCAACGACGCTGACTAGCTGTGTATATACGAATGTGGATCGCATCATTGGCTGGACTATGGGATAAGGTGGCATCGTTGTAATCCCATACGGAGCAGCCAGTCACTTACTGACTAACACTGCAAGACAGAATTATTACCGTGCCAGCAGTGCACAATTGCGCATGCGCGCAGCTTAGAGGGAACATTGCACAGGAGCCAATTGTTAGCAAGTTTCCCTACGAATAGCCTTTGTTACATAATAGATTGCTACTTTATCAATGTCCATGTGTGTGTGTGTGTGTGCACTGATTTGTATATTCCATAGTTATCTGCTTTCTCAAGGCGCTGAAATGTTCCAATCTGCTGCATCTGATGTAATTAGCCCTAGCCCAATTTTGGTCGGTATCTCATGGGCACAGTTCCTTTGGAGGCAGATTAACTCTCATTGGGTGAATTTAACTGCAAATTTCCTATTAATAAGGGCCTATAAAAATAGTAGAGTCACAGCATTTAATATTCAAACTGAAACTGGCTGGCTGAATACTGAATCCGTGCTCCCTCACTAACTCATTAATAGGAGTGACGTCAAAAGCATTGAGCTGCACCGCGGGCTGCAGGCCATAGCTGTTTGTCACCATCACTCACCCTGAAATGACACTAAAATAACAAAAATGAGAACAGCAAATGGATGAAATCCCACACTTTCATTCACAAAACAGGCAAAGATGTGTGTGTATGTTTAAAAATCTGGCCTTGAGAGCATGTGCTCCTTGTGTGCCGTTTGCGACAAAAAAGCCTGAAGATCCTTGTGTTTAATAAGAAGGAGGCATTTTCACCTTCACATCCAAACATTTTTAGTTGCAGGAACAACCGTTGAGGTGAACAGCATTAATGGTGGCTAAGTTTCTATCAAAGGGTGTTTTATCTTCTTTATCTTCTTGCACACCAGCAAGAAGACTCTGAAAGTAGCATGACAAAACACAAGTCATTATTAATGAATGATTATTGGCTCCTGTGTGTTCTTTGCTATGATATGTTGCTTTGTGTCCATGCAGCTCTTAGCACTAAGTTAATAAATAGTAAGCAAATAAATAGATCTGGCCAATCAGACCACTGCGCTTGGCAACAAGTGCACTTGCAGCTTCAAACATGTACATCACCTGATTATATAATGCAACGAAAATAGTAAAATGATAATAAAGTCATGGTACAGCTTTAACTCCTGGATCTGCCTGCTGCTGCCTTCGCTTGATGTCAACTTAATTATTTCAAAGACCAATGCTTTCGGTGTGTAATGGCTTTCAATTGTAACCGTTGCTAGCAATGAGCAATTGTTAGTTGTTTAAATATTATTCAAAGTTTGTGAATAGTTTTGCCACATGTAACGATCATAGATAGCTTTCATGAATTAACGCATAATTAGTGCATTTGTTTTTTTTGTGGAATTATTTTAAAAAGAAATGGTCTGATTTCAAAACTGGATGCTCATTGGCTAACAACTTGCAATTGAGAATTCATTAGCCAATGAGCTCACCATGTATAAAAAAAACTTCTTAGCTTAGATTTATAAAACAGTTCATTTTTTATTCAGTAAGGCTTTTTACTAAGGCAGGAAACAGGTATCCTATTTGCCTATTTGTTTGCTTTCTGTTTTTTGATTCTGTTTTTGTTAGAGAGATAATATCTAGATAAGCAGACATTTATCTAGCCAGAAGGTAAGGCAACCAAGCTAATAAACAACCCCCAGGTGTTGAAAAAGACAAGAAAACCCATTCTACAACCAAAAGATGAAAAAAAGAAAAATCACCATGTTAACCTCCTAAGACCCGAACTCTTTCACGACATGCATTTTTAATTTCTCTTTGATATTTGGGCATATTGGGGCTGGATGAATGAAAAAACAAAGAATTACCAGATTTTTTTTAAAACTTATTTTTGTTTTTAAGAAAAATAAGAGCCACATATGAGGATATTTGTTTAAAAGTTTGATAGAACA